AAAAAAAAATTCCAACGTGATATTACATAAGTACAATTTTAATATGCTTAGTACTTACTAAAAGAATAAATTAACCTAAAAAATCTTTATATTTTGATGAACAGAATACAGGTGTTCCATTAAAGAGCCCTTAGTAGAAAATTATTGCATTACTAACTCCTTCTTCAATATTGCCAAAATTACACCTTAAATTAAACCTTTGTAGTTGTAGAGTTTTAAACTATGAATTAAGTTGCCAAGATAAGAAATATTCAACTATTGTGAAAGCTTCTTAGAAAAATAATGATTATTACTATCACAATGGAGGAAAGTAAGTCTTGGAATTCATCCTCCTCTGCTAGACAAAGGCAGTTCAGAAATGTATTAGGCAGAAAATAGTATTCAAAACTGCTGCTATGTGACATAATTTTGGATCTAAAACAGAAAAAGTATTTTTACTCAATTATTTGCTAGAGGATTTTTCTTCTAGGGAGAAATGTAGCACTAGATGAAATAACGTTTACTTTAAAACTTTCCCTACATACAAAATGTTAACCTTTATACTGTAACAATTCTATTTTATATATGGTTATTTTCTAGTGTTCCTTAAACATATCATATTTTGAATTATTATGTGTTTTAGAAAGTAACCTCCTCTGATACTGTGTTTGTGTATCTCCTTGATAATATTAGACATTATGTGGTAAATTCTTGGAATGTAGTTTGAAGACAATGAATTTAAATCTGATATAATATCTCTGTGAGTAAAAGAAGGGCTCTTCCCTAAACTAGTTAGAAATTCTATTGCCAAATCATACATATCAGAAATTACAAATCCATGATTTCTATCTGAAATCCTCATGAATAAATTTTTTGCCATCAAAATTATTATGGCCATCATATTTTTAAAAAGGTGAAACATGCAGATTCTGTACCTTTTAACACCCTCAGCATAGCCAGGGACACCATCCCAATATAAAACAATTTGTTCATACATAAGTATCCACACTAAGTGGGATAAATAAATATTTATTACCTCCAATCAGTTCAATTCAGTCTTTGATGCCAAATTAATTTGCACCAAACATCCAGAAGAAAAAAAAAATCCTTCAGTTTTAAAAACATTTTAGTTTTCCTTTTTGTGGTTAAGGGATTATGGATCTGTCTTCCTGGAAAGGCTGTTTTAGAAATGGAAGATGCCAACTCTTTTCTCTTTCTGGATTTTTTTGCCTTGACTTTACCTTTAAGGAAAACAGTTTACTAGTTTGCTTTCTGGTAGAGAGTCACAGCACAAGGGAGTAGAGGGTAGAATTTATGATGCCTGAATCACAAATCGGGTCTAATGTCCTATTACTCTCATATTTGAATTCCCTTTTGTTGATCCTTAACCTTGTAATTTCATGGTCTCATCTCCTAGGAACATTTAAGGAAAATATTTTCCTATGCCCAGTAACAGTGACATGAAACATTAAAATCCGCTAACATTTTATTGTACATTAATGATTAATAAGAAGGGGAATCTCGGGACAAGATTTGAAATAATACAATGAAGTAGAACTTTTTCATACTGATTCCTTTTCAATTGCCATACTTGGAGAATTATTGTTTGTCTACATTAAACTGACCAATTGTTCCTTTTATATTTTCATCACTTACCTTCATAATATACTTTAAATCCATGAGCACTAACTGCAAAATCACTGGTCAAACGTAGTGAGAACACAGATTTGGTACTTGTCACTGGTGGTGGCAGATGGAATCCTGTTAATCTAAAAGCAAAAAGGAATTAATTGTTAGAGACATAGTCATTCTACCTAGTAGAGTTTAAGGAGGATTAAAATCATGTTATCAAAGCCCAAAGCTTTGTGTAAATATATTATGTATATATTTGTGACATGACAATTAGAACTCACTCTTCAAAAGCAATTACTTTTATGCATGTACATGTAAGTGCATGTAAATATACATTTATTTATATACATATATATGAAAATTACTATTCATCATATCTATCACTGTGTCATGTACATAAAAATATTGATTAATTCAAACTTTTGGAAATGAAAATTTTTGAGAGTATGTGTTAGTGTATATTTTGTGCATTAGATTTAAAAACTGAATATTTTGAAGAAATTTTTGTCAAATGAATTATTTTCCTAATAGTTTAGAATATATAAAAAGAGTGAGAAATGTGTAGTTAAATTTAATAATGAAGGAAGAGGTGTCATCTAAATATGAAATCATGGGACTAAATTGCCTACAAATGAGAAGTGATTTTGTTTTATCAGATACCAAAATTTCAGTAAGTTCTATTAAAATAGCTGAAAATTACTTTTATGTTAATATTTCATACATTTACATAATAAAAATTTGCCTGG